ATACAATAATATTATTGTAAACATTATACAAGTTCTATATAATCTAAATCCTATGATGTTGATTGATTGGAGAAAAGAAAAGATAATATACTTATAGGGGAGATTATATACATATATAATATACATTATAAATGGCTACCCAGCGTCTGATTGAATTGTAAGCAGGAATTGGAATAAGAGGGTTTTAAATGTGGATAAGGATGGTGCATGGCGGATTTTAAGTGGGATGGAATTCCAAAATATGGTGGAGCGGACAATAAAGGAGTGTTGAAATGAGGCCGATTTGTGGAAAGGGGTATAAAGGTCGGAAGGACGAGATCTTGTGGGGAGGGAGTGGATAGATGACTTGAATTGAAGAAGATTGAACGCGTAGGACGGACGATGATTATAGATTATTTGTTAAAGGAATGTGCCTAGGAAATACTGTAATATAACATATATCATGACTATTATTATTTTTTTTAAATTATCAGAATTGACATATGAAGTGAGTGAGTGAAAGGGAAATTAAATGTTTAAAAAAAGGGAAAAAAAACATGGACAATGAAAGGAAAAAAAATTATATATATATATTTATTTATTACACTCATATAAACTATCCACTTCTGTATATCTATATATAAGTTCATTTATGGTCCTACGGATTAACGAGTATGTTGTGTGCATAGCAAGCCAATATAATTGGGCAGCAATCTTTTATATTTTATATTGTACACGTAAATAAAGTTTTTCTCTCTGATCTAACTTTTGAAACGTTGGAGATAACCTAGTTAAATAATATATATTCTTGAGGAAAATTTAATTATTAAAAACTTTCATCCCTATGACTTAATAGTAGAACGAATCTATCAAGAGGTAACTATTAAAATACAGGCAAAAACATGCGGTAAAAATATTTTTTCTCCAAATTAGCGACATTTGAGGACGGATATTTCGCGAGGTAATAAAAAAATGTATACAATCAATCATATTGAAATATATTAAAACAAATTAAAAAAAAAAGTTAAACCATTTTGAAAAAAACAAATTTTATCAGCACTATGGGTTGATTTTTAAAATTAAAACTCAAACGATTTCAACAACCATTCACCTCAGTCATAATTTGATTCATGGTATTTATTTCATTGTTCAACGTCATTATGTGATGTGAGAAGGAATTGGTAGAGATGATATTTGAATATGATTGATTGTATACATTTTTTCACTACCTCACTTAGTTTACTTAATAACCAACTATGGTTAATTTTGACAAAAAATCTTTACATCATGTTTATTGCTGTATTTCGGGTTATCGCTTATATCAAGAAAATTATCCATTGCTTCGACAAAGACATTCTATAAAAAATTGAAGCTGATCCATTTAGTTTATGTTGAGATAAACTAGTTAAATAATATATATTCTTAGGGGAAATTTAATTATTAAAAACTTTCTTCCCCATGAATTAATTGTAGAACGAAGCAATTAAGAGTTAGCTATTAAAATAGAATTTAAAACATGTGGCAAAAAATATTTTTTTCCAAATTAGCGTTAGTTGAGGACGGATATATTGGAAACTAATCGAGGTAATGATAAAAATTATATATTCAATCATATTGAAAATTTTATGAGCTTTAATTTTGTATAGAATGTTTTTGTCGATGCAATGGATAGTTTTCTTGATATAAGTGAAAACCCGAAATACAGCAATAAACTTGAGGCAAACATTTGTTATTCATAATTAGCCATAGTTAACGACGGATATCTCGGAAACTAAGTGAGGTAGTGAAAACAAGTATATAATCAATCATATTACAAATTTTGTAACAGCTTTAATTTTGTATATAACGTCTTTGTCGATGCGGTGGATAGTTTTCCTGATATAAGGGAAACTCGAAAAAATTTACATTCTAGGTACCACCTTCCATTTCCCTAGTGTTGTCCAAAATAGGCACTTTGCAAGACCAAGACTAACACTGCCTATCTGTTGAAAGACCAAGACCAAGACTGATACAAAAAATCGATTTTTTGAATAAAAATTGAGGAAAAATAGTTACTAATACTTACTACAATTTTAGTTACTATATTTAAAGATTTTGTGTATAAGCAATATACTTTTGCATTTAACTCTTCTAATTTTTAATTCAGAATTAGTTAGGTTTCTTCTATCTAAAAAAAATACAGAAATATCTCTCTAATAATAAGCTAATAAGTATCTGCAAGGCTATTGCGAGACACTTGCGCAAGACTAAGATCTAGACCAAAACTGAGCTTGCAAAACCAAGACTCGTCTCGGTCTCGCATTTGGGCAACACGACCTCTCCCCCTCACCCCCACATCTGGCTCGCCACCTAGGAGTGGATACTTTAACTATGTTTTCTTCCTTACTAGTACAAACAATGTCTCAAAGTAAACAATTGTGTCCCCGCCATTTCCTTCTATAAACATTCGTTGATTGGACTATACCTAGTTCTGCCATAAATACTGTTAAAAAAGTTTAACTTTGTTTACATCCTTGGATATTATTTATACAAATCTTACCTCTATCAAGTTACTTTCTTTACATGTCAGGATAATAATCCCAATTAGTTTGTATTTTTCTTTCGCTAAGTTAAGATTTAGTGGGGTGACAAAGAAAATCGAATAGCTATGATCGTCAAAGTTGGAAAATGCAGGGCAGAGATTTTCAACACTTTGAAACCTTTCAGTATCAGCCGTATGTTCATGAATAAATAGATATAATGAGAGAGGATGGCATGCCGCAGAGCACATCCTAACTTTAAAGCCTAAAATAATCTCTGGTTCGAGCAATTCAGCGCTTTCCTCAAGAAGTGCTGCGTGCTGCTATTGATGACTGGACACGGAGATTAAATGCTTGTGTCAAGACAAAAGGGGGAAATTTTGAGTTATTTATTTTACTCTCTATAGATATAAATTTTTTTTCTAATAAAAGTTTTGAAAAAATTAATTTTTCTGTTGAAATCTGTATATATTTCCTTGTAACACTATTTATGACAGGAATACGTACAGTCATACATACATCTCCCCTAAAAAAGATAAATGTTATTATGTATACAAAATATCAAAACCGCTAAACAATACCCTCAAAAAATACCAACAACTAAGGAAGGCTTTATAAATAAGTAAATATTGTAACTGATGAAAGAGGGTCCTTTAATAGGAACAATCTAATTGAAATATAGCCACTCCACTATGGGCAAGCCTTGGCCATAGATGAAAGGAAGTCAGAGAGAGAAAGAGAATTGGGAATTAGCTGACTATATTAATACTTTAAATATAGTTTGCAAAAGTTGTCTTTTGTTGTTTACTTATGTTATTTTATTTTCACATGTTTGTGTTACATATATATATATATATATATATATATATATATATATATATATATATATATATATATATAATGACCAGAAAAAGGATAAAAAAAAAATATAATAAAATAATTTTTAATAAATATAATTTTCCACAAGAATTTTTATTTGTTGGGCGCCTGGCTTACCAGCCTTTCATCCCTAAAGAGATAAATCTAGAAAACATAAAGTACTTACAATTTAATGGCCATCATTAAATATTTACTCTAGCATGCTAGCTCAGGTGAAAAGGGTTAGGTTGGATATTTTTTTTATAAAGCAGCAAAAATGTTAACAGATCTATTTACAGAAAGAAATATTTAAAGAATTAACACTATGTACAATAAAAAGAAATAAAATACATGGAAAAAGAGGGAATTCAAACATAATTACTATAAACAATTAAAGATAAAAAGGAAGATATTTAAGATGATAAAGATAATACCAATAACAAAAAAAAAAAGATACTTATGCTATATACAATATTATGGCATGCCACATCTAAACATCTAGAAAAGATATTCAAGATACAAGTGATATAAGATGTAAGAGTACATGCACACGCTAAAATATCAATTAGTAATCTCGCTGAGGAAACAAAAGAAAGTAGAGTTTGTTTTGTTTCAACTGCTTCCTTAATCTTGGTTACAATATATATATATATATATATATATATATATATATGTTTTTAGTGTTTTTATTTTATTTTTCTTCCAATATTTTAATTTTAATGAGAATTGTAAATATTTAATTTAATCTTATGCTCTGTACCTATAATTTGTCCTAAAAGGACAACAGTCTCAGGATAATAAAAAATCTATTTTCATTTCAATCATATATAATTCCTTCGCTTTCCGAAAACGATAGTTGTAATTTTTATTTTTAAATTAAAATTCGTCCCTTCGGTATTTTCGAATCGATAGTCCTTAATATCGAAGTAGATACTATCCATGGTAAAATATCGATTATCGGAAGGAAAATATCGATATTTCGTTAGTGTCGCCTATCTATGGCCATCACTAGTTTGAGTTGAATCGAAAATATAACATCATATAACCATTTATGTTTATAATTTAAATATATATTGGCTAATCGCTGCGAGTGTTGATAATATTGTCTAAGCTAGGACGAAGGGGCAAGGTTACACGGGTATTTTCCTTACGCAGGTTGGCCACGCACGAGAGTCAATAAACTTGAAATCTTTGGCATATATTAGCTTCTTTATTTAAACTCACTACATCCTCTTGGCTTTTGTTCTACAGCCGATTGTCGGTGGAAATATTTTTGGCCTGCGAAAGCATATGAAGTATTTCGAAACGATTCTTCAAATAATTAAGAAGTTCGTTAAAACTGATTGTTACAAGTGACGACTTCAGGTCTTATTATTTAAAGATACGTTGATGAGCCAAGTAGCGCCATCTCTCCTATTTAAATTCAGCTGTTACGTACGTCTAATTAGGTACGTTAGGAATATACTAGTCCTGTAATAAATATTGTTAGAAGGAAATATATACAAATTTCAACAGAAAAATTAATTTTTTCCAAAACTTTATTAGAAAATAAAATGTATATCTATAGAGAGTAAAACAAAAAAGTATTACTGAAATTGTCCTCTTTTTCCCTTGACACAGGAATTTAATCTCCGTGGACAGTCATTAATAGTAGCACGCAGCACTTCTTGTGGTTAGCGCTCCAGTCCGGAGGAAAGTCGATAATCTAGGGGGTTGAGATGAGGGCTTCCTGTGGGCCAATCCGAGGCAGAGATGAACTCTTGGATGTTCTTTTGCAGCCACTGCTGGGTTGACAAGGCCTTGTGAGCTGGAGCGGAATCCTGCTGAAAACCCGAATTACTTCCAGCAAACAGAGGCATGGAAGAGGTTCCAAAATCTCGTCCTGGTAGTTTTTTAGCGACTATTTTATCTACTTTTTCACAAAAATGGAGCTTTGTGGTGCCTTCAAAACAAACTCCCCTCTAAACCATTACTGAGGAAGGGTGATCATGGCTTAAACACACTTTTACTAATTTATCTGTAACGGCTCTAACGATTTTGATTCAATTCATTACACCAATGTAAAATTAAGCAGTTTTAAATAAAATATAGGTTTTAATTTGATCGATGATCTCTGACAGGGCTTATATGGCTAATTTTCTATATTAGCGATCCCTAAAGTACCTTTAATTTTTTTTTATTTGAAACCATTGACCATTTCACATTAATCTCTAATATAAAAGTCAGTTAAATATAAAATATGAAAGAATTTGATTTTTTTTTTTCCCTGTTCTTCCCTTCCTCGCCTTTTAGGCTATACGGGATTTTCCAGTGCCGGAGGGTGAGGGCGGGGAATTTAAAATCCCCTCCGGCACTGGAACGTGAACTCGTAATTTTTAAATCTCTCAAATCTGTTATCCGGTTGTTAGACAATTCGCGGTGCTGCGCACACGCTTTATTCCATTCGGTCACCCCGTCCTCCGAAAGAATTTCATTATCAACTAAAGGAGAAATAAGAGATCGTAACGGAGAATAGTTGTAATTGAGGAACCAAAGGATTACGAGCGCACCCGAGCTCGTCCGAAAGATTATAACACACTTCTATGAGTAACATAAGCTTAATATAACGACTCCGAAAACATTATGTAATTATATATGTGCGGTTTTCATAAATGTTATTGTTGTATTTAATATTTATATAAATAATAATATTCGGACCGAAGAAGGATGAGTTAACCGGAGAGTTCAGACAGTTAAACAACGTCGAATTGCGTGAACTGTATCCGGGTAATATAATTGAGGTGATTTCGTCGCGGCGAATCAAATGGGCTTGTAAAGTTGTTGAGCTTAGTAACGAGAGAATTCCTAAAAGATTAATATTTGCTGTGCCGAATGGTAAGCGTCCGAGGGGTAGACCGAAGCGAAGGTGGGAAGATTGCATTAAAGCCGATCTGAAGGGACTGGATTTGGACGGCGAACGGTGGAGGAAGGTGTGTAATAAGCGATTGGTGGTGTCGGCATCGAACCTTCGGGTTCGCTAAGCCTTTCATTATTATTATAAATAATAATAATTAATGAATATTATTTAATATTTAATTGTATAGATTACAGCGATGTAAATATTAAAATTTGTATAAGTAAGTGCACTTATACAAATAAAAATACCTACAATGAAATGTAAATCAATATAGCGTTTATAATTTTTACTTTCATTTCCCCTTTGTCTGAAAACCTATTTCTATTAAGAAAAGGGTGGTAAGTGAAAGTTGTGTAAGACGTGAACCGCACCAGATATTTTTGTATATGTCCAATATATAAATATTTATTTTTTCTATCAAAAATCGAAAACTTGAGTTTAATATTAATCCTTTTCTTCTTTCAAAGATTAACAACATCGAGACCCGAAATATATGAATTTTAATCGATATTTTATACTGATATTTAGCAATTGTCAATTCTATATGTATGGATATTTACATTTCTACCCTTTTCGAACATTAAAAATATCCAGACAGGACAAATCTTTATATTTAGATCTCTGGTTGATATTTAGAGATATTTAGATCTCTGGTTCTAGGAGATTATAAAATGGTCTTCGATACAGTGCAAGATCAAAATAAAGAACGATTGTTTAAAAAAATAGAGTATTAATGGGTTTGATTGATGTTTTATAGTCCAGTTCAATATCGAAGTGACATTTCGAAGTATGTTATTGGTCAAGGTTTTGGCAAGAGGAACCAAGGCTGCATGTCGCAGGAAGTTGGATAAAATTAACTCCCGACTGTTTACCACCTTCTTAAAAAAATCTTTGTTTTTATAGGTAATAGTAACAAACCAAATTTTATTGTGAAATTATTAGTGAATGAATGTAAACGAATTTTCTTTATTTTCGGCTCTATTGGAAGAAGATAATTTTTAGATTTTGTTGAGAGAAAACCGAACCGGAATGACCTTTATCCACTATCAAGCAAGCGTGTATTATATCTCGAAAACTGTATAGTCTAATAAGGGAGGTTACGTGACATGACTTCACGTACGTGGGTCACCGGATTTCAATAACTTGTTTTGGTCATACTAGGTCGAATAATATTAGAACCATGTCCAAGGGTTCTTGCTAATGCCCCTAAGAGTCCAGAAAAAAATTATAGTATTTTTATATTACTGTTTTCTGACTAAGCTCTGTATAGATTTCTAAGTTATATGTGTCGATCGATTTTTTTTTTTTTTTTTTTTTAATAATAAAAGCATATTTCTAATTGTGTTAAACGAATTCTAATGTATGATAATTTACAAAAACCCAAATAAGGTTCCAGTAAAGTAGACCAAGGAAATTTTTGTGACGAAAAAAAAAATACAATTCAAATTTTTTTTTAGTTTCCACTAAAACTCTTAAATACAAGTTTGTTTTGAAATCAAAAAATATAAATTTTTTTATTTAATTTTCAAGGAGGATTTTTTTACTAAAATATTCATAACTCCTCAGGACGTTCTCCTATGTTAACGTTACTACAGTCATTGGAAAGCTAAATTATTGCTCTTCGAAACCTGATCGATAACTTTTAGATTTTACGCCTTTATAAAGAAGAAATAATTAAAAATCCACCAAACGTTTTTATTTTTTATCTCCAAGCCTAATTTATTTACAGGAGTCTGGTTTGTACATTTTTGTGTATATTATAAGCCTCCAAATTCATGCTAATGTTCGTAAGCATAAGTGAAGTCATGTTGAAGTTATAACAACGTTTGTGATTTTTGAGAAAAAAAAATTGAATCCAGCCTTAAAAAAATGTGAGGGAAAAAAAGTTTATTTTTCGATTAATATGAAAATTCGTATTTAAGGTTTTTTCGAGGTGCGAAATACAAATCTCACCTTTGTTTGTTTCTTTGAAAAATTGTGAACCCACTTTACATCTTAACTCAGTATTAATTGTCTTCATATTATACTCATACTATAGTTCAAAACCAAATATATAAATTTTTTCTAAACCGTTCGAATATCGAAAGTAAGATTACGTGTTAATAATTTCATAAAGAGAAACCTGTACCACATACTATTATTATTTAAATTACTGTTAATATGTTAACAACCAGAAACTAAGAAAATGTTCTCAATAATTTTATATATATATATATATATATATATATATATATTATATATATATATATTATATATATATATATATATATATATATGTATATATATTTAATAAGATAGCCTCCGGGACCTTCTAATATAGAAATATAATTGGAGTGCCACCAATGGGTAGTTTCTCTTCATGTCGTACATGTCAAGTTACTTATTTCATATTTACTAGTTGTATTTATCATTATACGGAAGAAGATAATTTTTAGATTTCGTACGCTGTAGTAGCAGCGTCTTAAGGTTTTTGAAAATAAAGTATTGCGTAGAATATTCGGACCGAAGAAGGATGAGTTAACCGGAGAGTTCAGACGCTTACACAACGCCGAATTGCGTGAACTGCATCCGGGTAATATAATTGAGGTAATTTCATCGCGGCGAATCAAATGGGCTTGTAAAGTTGTTGGGCTTAGTAACGAGAGAATTACTAAAAGGTTAATATTTGCTGTGCCAAATGGTAAGCGTCCGAAGGGCAGACCGAAGCGAAGGTGGAAAGATTGCATTAAAGCCGATCTGAAGGGACTCGGTTTGGACGGTGAACGGTGGTGGGAGGTGTGTAATAAGCGATTGGTGGTGTCGGCATCGAACCTTCGAGTTCGCTAAGCCTTTTATTATTATTATTATTTATCACTATACTGTTGTAAATTTCAATAATGAAAAAAAATATATATTTGATTCTAATGTACTTACTGAGGTCGGTTTTGTCCCATTTCATGTACATATAGAATCCCAAATCCCTAATAATTTTTGTGTGATCGAGGCGGGGGGCGTCTTTGAGGTAGAGGCATATCAAAGAAAACTCCAACACTTTTGGCACATGTAACCGAAATTACTGGATGGAATTCGAAAAAGCCGAATCGTACAAGCCGTGGATTTAAATATAGGTGTAGGAAAAAATATTTACGTGTATGTAACCGAAAGTAGAAGTGGACGGAATTAAATGAAGTTGATAAGGTACCATTTAGGTAGTAAGTTGCACAATCTTAATTTTGGGGGACTTAAGCCTGATAGATTTTTTTTTATGTATTTGTATATATATTAGGATAATTACTTCGGAAAAAAGGAAGAAACTAACTACCTATATGAAATGGTGTTTAGGTGATTCTTTAAGTCCTATTAAATGTAATTATACGAACAATAATACTTTTAGAGATAATTTTTTTCTTTAAACATGGTTATATTTTACCATTTTGGGAGGGCTTCAGCCCGAAAGTCCTTTCCTCTTCTCCCTCTCCCATAAATCCGCTTGTGGTTCCCGCACGACATACATAGCTTCCCTATTATTGGTAGTAAGGAATGAAAATAAACTATTGATTTTTTTTTTTTCCTTTCTCTAGTAGATTCATGTTGTACCCACCAGATGGGAGACTACTAATGTAAGAATTTTAGAATACTCTCGTGTTCAAATCATAATATTTGTTGACAAGAGTTCAACAAGGCCCGGATGAATCATCGAAATTCATGGAACATCGGTAGTGTAGCCAACCCTCTCTTCAGGCCTGTTGGCACAAATCCAGCTCACTATCCTGGCTGACACTAAAGCTCAAGTTTTGTGTGAATCCAGCTCACTATCCCGGCGAACACTAAAGATTATGTTTTGTACGAATGTGCCACCTTCCAAATGTGTCAGTGATTCCGATCTTAGAGCTAGGATTCAGATCATTAATTAACGCTCAAAGTCCAGCAGATTGGTTATGTGTTCAT